CAGCTGGAGTACTGCGTCCAGTTCTGGGCGCCGCACTTCAGGAGGGATGTGGACAACATGAAGAGGGTCCAGAGGAGGCCACTCGCATGATCAGAGGGCAGCAGGGCAGGCCCTACGAGGAGAGGCTACGGGACCTGAACCTGTTCAGCCTCCACAAGAGAAGGCTGAGGGGGAATCTAGTGGCTTGTTACAAACTAGTCAGAGGGGATCAGCAGGCGTTGGGGGAGTCCCTGTTCCCTCGAGCACTGCCAGGAGTGACCAGGAATAACGGTCACTAGCTGGCAGAGGGTAGATTTAGGCTAGATATCAGGAGGCGCTACTTCACGGTCAGGGCGGCTAGGATCTGGAACCAACTTCCAAGAGAAGTGGTGCTGGCTCCTACCCTGGGAGTCTTTAAGAGGAGGCTAGATGAACACCTTGCTGGGGTCGTTTGACCCCAGTACTCTTTCCTAACATGGCAGGGGGTCGGACTAGATGATCTGCTTGGGTCCCTTCCTACCCTAGAAACCATGAAACTATAACCAAGGCAGTACTATGCTGCAGAGTACTATGCTACCTGCCAATGTGATGTTCCTTGCCCTATTGCAAACCCAATATGTCTGCATGCAAAATTGTAGTGATTTAGTTAACCCGTTTAGCTAAGCTAAAGCTTTACAGAGCAGGGTTAAATTGGTATAAGTACACACACACAAGATTGCACTGGTTTGATTTCACACTGTTCGGTCTTGTCTACACACAGGACGACAGCAGTTTAACTTCAGGTATCATTTTAGTTCCAGCAGTACAAAAAGCTGTACTGACATTTTCATTTCAGTTTGCACTTTCCATTTCTACATTGCAAAGTGCTCCACAGAACTGAGGAAGAAGGACAATTAAAAGGCTTTTGGAAACCTGACACTGGAACAGAAATGTTACTAGGTGTGGGCAACTGGGGCACCAGTCCTGGGTGCTGACAGAGAGGGCACAAGAATGGCAGCTGCTGCCGCTGCTGGCCTGGCTGCTGCAGCCTCTGTGACTGTCCCAGCTACTACTGCCACCCCTGCTGCCCCTGCCCCCCAAAGAACAGACCCTGTCTGCTATGCCTCTGCATTTCAATACATGGGGCTCCTTTTGATCAGACTCCATCTGAGAGGAGAGGCTAGAATTTGCTTGGAGCACAGTTTAAGCTGAAAACAGGGCTGCAGCTGTCTTAGCAATAAGTGAAGGCAGGGAGTTCTGTGGCTTGGCTCTCATGATAAGATACAAGTGTCACCAATCTTCAGACTAAACACTTGGTTCAGCTAAAATGATCCAGTTAGCAGAATCCTCCATCCCAAGCTGGAGGCTACTATACCTGTCTCTTGGCATGTTAGGGCTGTTAAGCTGAAGACCAAGGTTGTTCCCCAGACAGTAGACAAGAAGGGATCCTTAGACTGAAGAAGCCTGTCTCACCAGATGGCAGAGTTGTACCCCACTGTCTGCACCAGGGAGGGTGGGAGCCAGCCCCAGTGCAATCAACTCTCTTGGGTTTAGACTCTGACTCATGACTGAATGTTCCTGATGATAGTTATAAATTGACCGAACTTTGCCCATAAACACTAGGTAGTATTAGTCAGAAGTGCTGATCTCCCCTTCCAACTCACCCTAGCAATCTACATAGACTTATTCAAAGGGAACTCTTAAAAGATACATAATAAGTATCCTTTATGTCTTCTTCTTGCTGTCTGCACAGCCACACAATGTCCTGAGGGCTCAGGTGGCTGGTGATAGAGTGTCTTGCTCAAAGTTACTCTTGACCATTTTAAGGACCTTGCATGAGGCAGGCATTAGCTATTATTGAAGGTCCTTATTTAAAAAGTGGGTACACACAAAGGGAACTTGAGCACACTTGGGTTTACAGGAGATACTCACCTGCTGAGCTGCCATGGTCAAAGACAGGAGCAACAGGGAGAGAAGCACTGCATCATTAAAGGTGTAGCAGGAAGCTGGACAGGAGCAGGGCTGGGGACAGTGAGTAGTGGAAGGTGCACAGCAAAGGAGACAGAGGGCTGTAACAGAGTCAATGGTACATGTGTTTCCCTCATTCTAATGAAGCCCCTTGTTCAGGTGCAGTAAAAAAATGTATCTTGATGTGGCCCTTTGCTCAAGAGAGGATGGTTTGAACTCTCACGAGCAATATCAAGTAAAGCCTGAATCTCAGACTGTCGGAAGGTCTGTATACAGGCACTCCCTACCTCTAGGAGCTCCTAGTCTGAACAGATTTAACAACCAAACAAAGGAAAGAGGAACAGAGGTACAGAAAGAGGTGCGGTGACTTGCCCAAGGTCACACAGCAGGATAGTAGCAGAGCCCAAGCCTCCACCATCCAGAACTCTGTCCCTTGGGCCTCAGTGCCTTGGATAATGCTGTCTGGTGGCTTTGTCTGCATGGTTTGCCAAGGCCCATAGCAGACTGAAAAAAGAAAATGTCAGCTCCCCTCTCCTAGATGGTAAAAATGAAGGGGCGCAATTAGATTTCAGGCCCACCTGGGAACTTTGACATTCAGCAGCTGGTGCTGGCAGAGCAGTAAGAGGTGGATGTGGCAGTGACGTACCCCCAGGGCTGCCATGGCAGGCAAAATTTTCCCTTGCATCAGTCTGCTGAGAGCAGTGGTTTTCAACCTTTTTTCCTTTGCAGACCCCTAAAGAATTTCAAATGGATGCGTGGACCCCACTGGAAATTTTGAATGGAGGTCTGGACCCCTTTGAATTGTAAGTGTGGGTATTCACATACTTCTGATTGATCGTAGTCATCTTTTGAGGACCCCTTAGACCTAGTCTGTGGACCCCCAGGGGTCTGTTGACCATAGGTTTAACCACTGGCTCAGAACAACCCCCACGCTGCTTCCTCTAACCCTCATGGGCACTGGCCACCTAGGCTAGGGACAGAAATTACACATAAACCAATGTAAGTGATCAAAAACTGGTTCAAATCTGTAACACAACAGAAGTTCAGTACACATAAACCACTTTCAAAATGGCCAAAACCAATTTAAACCTGGGTGGATCAGACTTCACTGATTTAGGTTAAATTGGTTTATTGAACTTCTGTCCCAGTCCACTCCAGATTCAAGTTAATTCCCAGTCCCCCACAAACCTCCCCTCACAGGGTGGGAGGGCTAGCCTTGTCCCAAGCTGTCTACTCCAGCTGAGCAGTGAGGCCTGCTCTAGCACGGCCCCGGCATCTGGCCTGGCCTGGGCCACTGCATTTCCGGAATCAAAAGTAAATGTCTGTTCATTTGCTTATTGATTCCTTCTACACAGCTTAGACTAACCTGTGAAGTTTGAATCAATTCAGCCTCAGGATTTTTGACTGTCTATACTTAGCTCTAGTGACTAGCAAAAGTTGCAACTTTTCAGCTGCTGAAAAGTTGGCCCTGACTCATCTCATTCCCCCTTCTGCTTCTCAGAGTCTTTCTACCAAGACCCTCCACAGGCTCTTCTGGGCAGTGGTTGCTCACCCAGGCCACTAGTCCCCAGTAATTCTTTCTTGGGAGCTAGCTGATGCTACCTTTGCTTCTATTTATCACTCACCAAAGCTTGCTGGGGCCCTGTAGGACATGGTGACTCCAAGGTTCACTGGAGACCTCCCCTTGTAATTGTGACTTTGTAGCTCTGGTTTGTAGCCTTCCTGCTTGGGAGCGCAGCCTGGAATACTAGCTACAATTTTTAATTTGCCAAGAAAGTCCTCTTTTTAGTTTACAGGGACAGAAGGGGGACTTTTATGTGCAATCTGTACAGCTCTCCAGAAAGCACTTACATTTATGATGTTCATGAAATTTATAGCCAGTTGGCAACGCTGCTCTCTTCTCTCCTCTCCACCAGCCACCCTGGCAGGATGGCAGAATATAATAAGCAAGCCACACATTCAAGTGGCATAAAAGGTATTTCTACAAGTTAGCCTCCTGCCCAGTCTTATAAACTCTAACAAGTCTCTAACAAGCAGGCAGGATCTCTTTATACCCAGGGAGAAAAATCCTTTTCAAAAATGGCCTTTTCACAAAGCCCACACCTTTCTTCTAATTAAGGTTAAATAGCTCCATGTTTTCTGGCCAATTTCATTCTTTTCCCTTATTCCCCTCTTAACAAGGCAGCCTTTAAAAAGGCATCACTAATTGGTGTCTGCTTCTCACATACCATGCATGCTTTGATAGTCAGTTAGAATGCCTTCCCCCATCGATCAAACTTGTACTGAAAGCCTGCTAATGTGCTCCATGTGTCTGCCACAGGACAAAGCAGAGTGGAGGGTCCCCAGCTCCCTTCTCTTCCTGTTCCCACATGCCCTGCACACACCTCCCAGCAACAAGAGTCCAGAGCCAGCTCTGCCGGAATTACCCCTGTCCCCTGCCTTCCTGGGAATAGCCGGGAAGCCTGTCCCCAGCATTGAGAGCGCACAGCAAAGAAACGACTGCACTCCGTGTGTGGCAATTTGGAAATTAATGGGGAGTGGTTAGATGTTAAGAGTAGGATCTAAAACAGAGAGCGGGAGAGAGCAATTGTCATGTTGATGAACCTGGATGCAGGCCAGTGAGCGTTCCTGCAAATCCCAGCCTCCCCGTCACTTTTTTTTGGTTATTAAACGAAAAGCTCATGGGGAGGGGCACAGGGGAAATGTTACCATTTAAAGGAACAATGCTCCCATTCCACCCCCTGCCTCTGCGAAGAAAATATATAGGAGGGAGACTCCCATGTGCCGTGCCTCCCTTCCAACCACCCCCCCACGCACATGCTGGCATCTTAACAACACAGACTGCATCTGTAACTGTTGAAATCTGCAGCTAATCAGCCTTTCCCCAGCCAGCAGGTCAGAGCTGTCAGTGTGCCCTTGTGGAAAGGCTGTGGGATGCTACAGGATCATCATCATTACAAGTGCCGTTCGTCCACCGTCCACCGCTAACCAAATGCTCTCCCTTGCTGATGCATGCCCATAAACCGAGTCTCCTTTGCATCTGCTCTGCCCCTGATTTTGCACTCACTCTCACAGCCTTTGCCAGCCCTTCCAAAGCAAATGTAGCACCTTGAATCTGCCTTCCTGCTTTTTGGTCCTGCTCATTCCACAGCTGCTTCCATGCCTCAGTTAGTTGCCATTTGGGGTTTATGGGTTCAAATCATCCCCAGGCCTTTGGTTATAGCCAGTGCTAACACAACCATGTGCACTGCTATAACATACGGAACAATGATGTGTTAAAATCCCAGAGTACTGCGTGCAACTCCTTTTAACTCTCCTCAAACAGAGATATACACGGAGGCAGGTCTGAACTCTTATTCTCCATTGTTCCAGTCAGGCCTTCAGTGCAGGGCTAAAGATCCTCTGGGGTTAGCTGGAGATCTGGCCAGCCCCAGGTATATGTTAGAGCAGACTGGGAGCTGCTCTATGAGCCATCCACTCCTTATAGTTAGCTGAGCACAGTGCACTCCTGGCACTACCCATTCCCCTAAGCCAGAGATCATAAAGTAGGTTTGCTCCCCTTGGTGAATCCCCCTCACTCTGGACTATTTCTCAGTGCCAACTTGTAGCTCCTTTAGAGAACTGGAGCCAAAGAGAGCAGAGTGACTTGAGCATGGTGACCAGCCTGGCAGCCGATTTCTGGCTCCAAAGTCCTGAAGCTCTCACACTACGTGCTTGTGTCTGCGTGCTTGGTTCTGCTTTGTCCTTCCTTCCAAACTGCTCTGTCCAGCCCATCAGTGTATCCCTGCCCAGGGGGAAATTCAGAGCCCTCCCCCTCCAGTGGGGTCACAGACATATGCTCCATCTCCTCTAGCTGGTGTTTCAAGAGGGCTGGGGGTTCAGACCCTGTCTTTGTCTTGCCCCTGTGGAGTGGACAGCTCCCTAGAGCAGGGAGCCTAGGAAGGGAAAGCTGCTTATTCCCTCCAACTCGTGTTGTGCCCATCCACAAGGGTAAGCCACAAATGGGCCCAGAAAGGCAGCAGGGAAGTCCCATGCCCAGACCAATAGCCCTTGCCTGAATTTGGGGCCTGTGTCTCTGCAGTGTAAGCTAGCACAGCTGAGAGCATGGAGTCGGTAGAGCTGGCTTCTCCTCTGCTTCGTGACAGCTAGTGGACAAAAAGTTTCCTTCTTACTGCTCAACACTTGCTATCCAGCCTGCCCCTCTGAATGTTTTCTGGCCCTGCTGCAGCACAGACTCTCCACGTCTACCTGCGAAGCAGCTGCTCCCTCCTCCCCATTCACTTCAGCACCGTGTCAGGGAAGCACAGGGGCTCCCTCTCCGGAACGAGCAGGAGGGGGTGCAATATGTAAGGGTATAAATGATTGATAAATACCCAGCTCCCAAGAGCCTGAGAAGGCAACACTGCTGGAAACCCCCCGATTTCTGACCCTTCCTCCATAACAGAAGTGGGGCAGCATTGAGAGACCCCTGTCAATTTTTCAAAGATTTTCATTCCTCACTCCAAAAAGTGGGGTTCGATGTTTATGGTGATGGTGACATGAGCCCTTTCCCAATGGGAACAGCCCAGTCTGCACCATCTCCTCATTGTGGCCAGCCTCTACCAGCTTCACCCATGCACTGAGCAAGAGCAGGATGGCACTTCAAGGCACAGCTGAGATTAAGGAGCTGTGCTTGCATGGAGAACCATGCTGAACCCCCAACCCCAGGCAACTCCAAAAGGGTTGGGGACCCAGGCTCTTCATTCAAGTTTTTTTTCCCTGAGACCATCCTTGCTCTCTGGGCAGGGAGTTCAGCTGCTAACCTAGTTTAGCAAGACCTGGGACATCCCTCACTCAGTTACAGGTACTTCCACCAGCATGGAGGTGCTGGTGCCAGCACTCTACACATTCCTACCCTCCCTGCTCACCTGCTCTGGAGGCAGCTTACTGGGGAGCAGCCAAGCTCTGGGTAGCAGGTGTGCAGGGACAAGGAGGTTGTGACGGCCTCTCAGTCATGAGTGACTGGTGCTTCCTGCATCTGGGGGGGCACCCCCAGAAGCCACCGCTGGCGGCAGCCCTCTCAGAGTAGCACCAGCCCTACCAACAACATCAGTGTTGGCTGTCGGGGGGGGCCACTGGTCCCATCGGGGGGCATGTGCACCCCCTACCAGTTGCCTGTGCTCTCAGTCCCCTGCACACGTTTGCACAGTTTGAGATATAATCCAGCCACATGGTGCCGTCCACCAGGGGAGTGACAGAATTGAGCTGTCTCTAGTCTCTCTGCCTCTACAGCCTGGATGCTCATTTACCACTTCTCTGGGAAGCTCTTGTGTTGCCCTGTGAGCTCCCAGCCCCACTCCTAGCTTACTTGCTGTAATGAACTGCCATTTCACATAAGGAGCTGGGCAAGTTATCTGGCTGACACTTGGCTGCAGCTCGGTTTCTGATACCCCCTCCTTCTGATAGCAGTAGGAAAGATGCAGGGAGGAAGCTGCCTGATTGTCTCTCTTGCCATATTGTGGCTGGCAGGCTTGCTTTCCTGCATGGTTCTCACATATCAAGTATGACCATTCTAGTAAACTCCCTCCTGCCCCCCCCCTCCCCCCAACCCAGCTTGCTGGTATTTGACACAGCCACTTCCTTGGGAAGATTGCCAGGTAAGAGATTCCGCGTATGCATTTCATTGACTCTAAACAATGGATAAATGGCACACCTGCTTGTGCAAAGTTCATTTAAATGGCACTCCTGGTGCTGTCTGCAGCCAGCTCACAGTAGTTAACAGGTGTGAATTGGTAGCTACTAGCATATATTTTCCACTGTGCAGCCCTTTGTTCAGTTCCTGCTGTTTCCCTGGCTCAGTTCTGGCTGCCAAACACATAAATCTTTCCTTAGTTGAGAAAGTTAAAATCTTTGCAGCATTTGACTTTGCTGCAGCCTCTCCGTGTCTCTCCCCGAGCAACACGGTGTGGTGCATCTTCAGGGGCCTTGGATAATCTGCACAGAAATGGAATGGGCACATTTTTGCCTTCACCAAAGTTTGCCATTGAAACAGAGACATCCTGCATCTGCATAGGTCTCCCTGCTTGGTGATCATCAGCTCATTCACTGGTTTTTATCATGTTGCAGCACATTCACTGGCTTTTATCATGTTGCAGCACCTTGCCTAGGGAAGACATTGAGCTACACACAACAATCTTAGCTAAGGCTTTCCATGAATATTACACCCATCTTCATGTGAGAGATGGCCAAAAGCTGCTGCCAATTTGCCAGTGGCTGTGACAGGGTTAAACTTCCAGCTTTAAGCTGAGCAGCAGACTCCAGCCCTCCCCATGTGGCCAGAGGAAGCCAGCCCCTGGCAGCTGTTCCAGCATCCCCATGCCTTCATTCTGGCATGGAAGTCATCTTCCGTCTCTTAAAATATGCACCCCTCCCCCCCCCCACACACACAATTTCAGATGTCTAATTTTTGGAGAAAGGGTGCACTTGCCATGAAAATAAATATGTTAGTATATTACTAGTGCATAGGCCCCTGCCCAGGATGGAGCTTGTACACTGCTCGCCAAGTTTCTAGCTGCACTTGACAATACAGTTGCTGCAACTACACCATTGTTATACTGTTTCTGCAACGTAACTACATTGCGGTTATCCATTCCTGTAATTACCAATTACTAGCATGAGCAGACAGCTAACACACACGCCCGGGCTGTAAGAAATCAAAGGTCAATTCCCTACTCATGCTTAAGAGCCAGATCCTCAAAGGGAGTTAGATGCCAATGGGAGCTGGGTTTCTACATCCCTTTGTGGATCTGGGCCTTAGTCTTCCTCTGCTTCAGTTCTCTTATGTCTACAATGGGAATAACAACTTTGCTATATTTCACAAGGGGTATAAGGATAAATGCCTTAAAGACTATGGTCTGCTCACATGCCACAGTGATGTGTGCCAGGTAAATTCTTAAGACGGCAACTATTGAATTATTATCATCATTACTCCTTTAGTTTCACATTTAGTTTGTGACAGTTATGCATTTTGATACATAATAGGGATGTTTTTGATATATGCATCTAATCCCATAATCTAATACGTGATTTCAGGTGTGATTCAAAATTCGCTACAGT